GGGACGGGCCCAGCCCTGCTGCTCCGGCTGTATCCGTGGGAGGGGCTTTGGCACTGCCCATTGGGCCTTGCTGCCCCCCTGGCGGAGCTGTGTGGCACCAGCCTGGAGCCCAGCTCTGGCTTTATGAGGCCAGGTGGCGCCAGGGCTGCGTCTGAGCCAAATTCCCCCTGGGTTTCCCCCCCACTGTGCCCCTAGGCCCCCCATTCACAGGTCTGCCAGTGCCCCTCACTCCTGACCCACAGCCCCCTGCTAGCCCAGCCCTGGGCTCCCCCTACTCTGCCAGTGCCCCTCACTCCCGACCTGCAGCCCTGTTCCCTTCCCACGCTCAAAGCTCTGCTCCTCAGTGGCAGGGCATGGATAATTACACCCAGGCATGCCGGGGCCGGGGGTCAGTGGCTGTGCCCCGGCTGATTGGATCCTCGGGGAGCATGGAGTGTTATGAATAGCCCGGGATTAATGCGGGTGGAACAGATTGTGAATCCCAGAGGGCTGGCCAGTTCCTGCCTTTCTGGGCCCAGTGCCCCGCAACCTGCCCTGCCTCCCCCAGTGTGGACCCTGCCTGCATCCCCCAGTGTTGCTGCCCTGCAGGTCTGCTTCACCCCATGTGGGGATAGGAGCCTCCTCTCATCCCTCCAGGGAGAGGCAGCGCCCCCTCCCCTTCCTGCCAGCGTCACATGTTGCCACATCCCCCTGCCGGCCCAGCCCTGGGGTTCCCCCTAAGTGCAGCCAGTGCCCCTCAGCCCCCTGCCACTCCAGCCCTGCCCCCCCCATGGGTGCTCACGAGCCTCATTTGCATACCTAATGAGCCTCCATTTTTGCAGAAGCGGCTCTTGCGCCAGAAGGAGCTGTCTACACGGCCCCTTCTTGCACAACAAAACCCCCCTTGTGCAATGCCGCTATGCCGATTATTTTCAGGAATAACGGCATTGCGCAAGAGGAGCAGTGTAGACAGCTCCTTCTGGTGCATGAGCCTCTTCTGCAAAAATGGCGGCTCATTAGGTATGCAAATGACGCTCGTCGATAGTCCACATTTCGCCCACGAAAGCTTATGCTCCAACATGCAAATGAGGCTAAGACCTACTTCGTCAGATGCATGCATCTGACGAAGTGGGTCTTTGCCCACGAAAGCTTATGCTCCTACACTTCAGTTAGTCTATAAGGTGCCACAGGACTCCTCGTC